ACCGATTTCGATCCGATCGGCCAAGCCGTTCAAAAGTTATAAGAGGTTTACATACATCCGCACACACACACACACACATACACATACATACAGACGTACGGACATCATCGTAAAAATAGTCAGGGAAGCTTCCTGTGACCTTCAAACGTCGAGATCTGATGAAAACTCGATTTTTGTAAAACGGGGTGAAAACAATAACTTCCCGATTTTTGAAAATCTGAGATTTTTAGCGGGAAGTTAAAAATATTTTTAAAATAAAAATAAATAATCTCACCTGTTTATGCATTTCCACGTTGAGTCCATACGACATTTCATAGTACTGCAACAAAAAAAAATACGATAAAATACATGGTTAATTAGTTGGTGATTGGTTGGAAATTAAAATACCATATAATTTAATTGGATTGGACGGAATAAGTTGTACCGAGTAGAAGTAATAGCAGAGAATAAAATAAGAAAAAAAAAGTTAATGGGAGAACAAGAAGAAGTAGTAGTAGTTGTTAGTGTTGCGGATTGTAGAGGAAAGACTTAACTGTTAAAGGAAATAAATGGAAAATTGTTGAGCAACTATCTGTGTAGATATGTATTAAGTGAGTTGGGTAAGACAGTTCGCGAGTTGAGTAGATAGGATAGGAGTTTACCAGTGGGATAAAGAGAACTCGGGAGCAGGCAAAGAAGGAAGCAGAGTATCGATATTCCGAGAGCGTATATACAAGACCAAACTACAGCTTACAGGTTCTTAATTTTACGGGCCATTAGCCTAGTAATTACCCGGGGAATTAATTGCGCCGTAAGTGAGTTAGTCGGTAGTAAGCGAGAAACTCCAGAGTAAAGCGAGTAAGTGGAGATAGAGGATGTGAGTAAAAAATATTTAGTTAAGAAAATAGTCCGCTCAAGGGTTTTATCTTTTTACAACTCGAGCATAACTTTTAAATTATTAGTTTATAAGATAATATCGACGAACCAGTTTCCGATCTAACTAATATATAATATAATAATCTCTAACTTGTTTTACAGGAGGAGCAACGAGCTATTACGGCGGATAGGAGCTCACTTTTAAGAATAAGAACAAGAAGAGTGATAATTTTGTAATTTTGTCTTCTATCGGGTAAGTTAAACTATTTTCAAATTATAATTCTAATAACTATTAAAACAAAGTAGAGTTACAATGTGATAAAAAATAATAAATTAATAGTCAGTTCTTGATAAATCACACCAACGACTTCCTTTAGTTGGCAAAGTTGATTAATAGCGCTTAAACTAGTCGCCTCCGCGCCAATTAATTCTATATACCGAGCAAAGAAGCTGAGACGTGCCGAGCAAACAGTCTCTGTACTGAGTATGCCTCTAATATACACACGTACTCACACTTGTCCGTTAATATATATTATATTACGTACAGAATGTGAGTATATATGTATATATCTATTGCTATATGCCAGTACACCCAACAATCCACTTAAGCAACTGCTAGCGATATCTATCTACTCTATACTTAAAAAGTGTTACACAAGTAGACAAGTACACAAGACTCAGACTACGCTAATCCAAAATATTATATCTACTTAGATACATTGTACATTTGTTAGTCTATAGTACACAAGACATATCAATTATATGTGTTGGAAATTTCCGTTTGTTAGTCTCTAATTTATCGTCTAATGAATTGTAATTTATTGATAGTTAAATTACACCATTAAATATGTATGTATTTTATTTCAAAATTTGTTTTTATGGATACAGATGACTAATGACGCATTTAAACATCAAATATTTCTAACGACACTCCCAAGTATTTCATTTTTATTAAAAATACAGTCATAAATTTTTTATTACTCGAATACAAATCGCCCGATTATCATTTTTATTTTTTTATTGCCTTTAAAAACAATCGCACACCTCAAGCGCGAAGCGTTGCGCTCTATTTGTTTTTATTTTAAATTCTTAAAGCGTGATCTTGGGATTAAAAATTATGAGCAAGGTTTAATGAGTGTAAAAATTTATAAAGAGTTTAAATTTTATTTTTTGGCCCAGATAAAATTTTTTTTATTTAAAGAAAATTATTATAGGGTAAAAGACCCCAGTAGTGGTGGAGACCCCATTACTGACACTTTCTTTGATTTTGGTACTTATTCAATTAATTAAATCATTAATTTCAATAATGAATATATTATTTCTAATCTTTAAGACCTTAACATCAAAAAAATTTTTCATTTTTATTCCAAGTACACTGATAGAAGGATTTCTTAGTATTTAAAAAGATTTCTTTGTAGTTAAAAAATCATTTCTTAGTATTTAAAAAATATTTCTTAGTATTTAAGAAATATTTCTTAAATTCTAAGAAATATAAATACTAAGAAATATTTCTTAAATACAAAGAAATCTTCTTAAATGCTAAGAAATCCTTCTATCAGTGTAGAACATTTTTTTCATTGAAAGAAAAAGTGCCACTGATGGGGGTTAAAGGTGCCACTAATGGGATGTTTTACCTTATTTATAAATATATAAATAAAAATGACTTACCATCACATAATGTCTTTGAATTTCAATTTTCTCAGTCGCTAATTTTTCGCACTCCAATTTCATACTGAAAAAAATGATAAAAAAAATTAATAATGTTTTTATTTTTTAAATTTGCAATGTTAATGTACGCAATGGTTGACCTTTTTGTACGATAGTTTATTTTGTTTTTTATTTATATGAATATAAAATACTAAAGAAACATAACAAGATAATTTTAGTAATTTATTTGAACATATACCCTGCAGTGGCTAAGTTGGGTCTGTTTTCCCGGTTTTTGTAGCAAGCGTACAAAGACATCGATAAAATAATAATTTCATGCAGATAAAAGTATATATAGATGATGATAATAAAATAATGGAGTGAAGTGTAGACGGTAAAGTACAAGAAACAAATCGTCTATAGAATTATTAACGTGATGTATATCTTGTTCTACGAATAGAAGAAAGGAAACTAGACAAAGGAAACTCTGAGCTTGCGATTCTATAACGCGAGTGCAGGTACAAGCTTCTGATGAATAATCGATGATACAAACTACAATAACATTGGTAACATATGATGTTCTCTTTGTATATATTTCTCAGGGGTGATGATCGATACCAACGGGTTCGCTTTTGCCATTTATTATTTACTTATTCATGTGCAATATGCTCGAGTTCTCTTTCTCGTAATCCGCTGGGGTATTAAAATAATTATTAAATCAACTAATTGCCGAGATGGAGAATAAGAGCTGTTTTAAAAATAAATAAATAAAAAAATATATATCATGTTAAAGTATCTTATGAATCATTTAATTAATGTTTTACAAGCAAGTTTCAGCTGGTTGTTTTTTAGCTGTCGGTTGTACGAGGTAATAAAATAAAAGGATTGTAAAATAAAAGGCAGTGTCGGATAATGATAATAATGATGAATAAAAATAAAAATAATAAAACTTACTTGTGGTACTGCGCTTGAAGAAAACCAAACTCCTCCTTAATCCTGTCGCAGGATTCGCCCACCGTAAACTTGAACGGCTGCCCGGGCTGCGGTGGGCCCTGAAACGACAATAAAAAGTTTAATAAATGGTGAGTAGAGTTGAGGCAAAAAAAGGAAGCCTTAAGGAAAAATATAAATAAAAAATAAAATGTCCAGTAAGATGTATATATAAACACGGCCTCAAGGCGGGACAAGGTTTGTCCGACGAAAGAGAGACCGGATGCAATAAATTATCCGCGAATGAAGGCCGGTCAGCGAGAAAGGCTCGAAAGAACAAAATAACTAAATAAAACACTCCTTTGGACGATGTTTTCGGCTAGACAGAGAAATAACTAATATATATATGGAGGTTATATTATGAGGATAAAAAAATAAAAGGGAGTAATAAAATTAAAACACGCCGGTTACAAGCTTTAAGTTACAAGGAACCGGAGGAACAACTTGGAGAAGTTAAGAAACGGAAATCGTTTTACGGGGTCTTGAATTTTTGGACATTTGTAACCCAGATGGCGCCTCCTTTATTATTATTGTCGCCGGTAGTGCCGATCAAGCTCGGGGTTTATCTTTGTTGGACTTTTCGCCTGAAGGGTCAAACATTATTAGTCAACGTTTTGTCAGATTATTTTTATCATTTTTTATCGGTGTAATTAAATAATTATTTATTTATCGCTGCACACTTTGTTTCGTAATAAAATTAAATTCTTTTGACACAATATAAAGCATTACTCTTCATAGAAAAATTTATATCAAAAATATTTTTAATGAATTTTAATTGTTGATAAAATAAATTAAAAAATGGCCAAAAATTAGCTATTAAAAATCTATTTTATATAGTTTGAATTATTTTTAAAAAATAAATTTTTTTGATAATAGTTGCCCGGTAATTCAGACAAGCCTAGTAATATTTACAGAAGTCACGTAAGTGCAGCTCGTACATCATACAACCGGTGAATGTACATGTGTCGAATGATTAACTTGACGCAGCTGCAGCCCAGTAGGAAAGCAAATAAAGATTTAAAAAAAAAATCTGAGGAAAATACATCCATATATACACGAGTCGCTGCAAATAAACAGAACAAAATGAGCAAAAGTGAGGACTGAGGACTAATAACCGAGACTGGGGCCCAACAAACACAAGAAGAACCAGATAGAGATAACGTAATAGCAATAAGGAGGTGTAAGAGGAAGAAAGAGAAAGAAAAAAGATTCGCGGTGGAAACCGGTATGTTCCCCACCTTAATTCTCGGATGTATTCGCCTCAGGTAGAGACACGGGTTCTTTGCATGCCACACACGCGTGTGTATAATATTATGGGATAGGGGCAACACGACTTACGCTCGAGCACCGCACAGTGTAGCCAACAAAACATGATCTCGAGTGACTGACGCTCCGCACATTTGCACCGGCACGCAACCAATGGCTACACTGTTTTAACTACACATATGCAATGCACCAGATATATACATATACATATAACATAACATGTGTAGAGCCAGGTATACGAAGCAGTGGTATGTGGCCTGTACACGATACAAGTGAGACCAATTCAACGGACAGAGATGCCCGCAGCAAGTGTTAATTACATGTTTGCGGTGTCCGCGAGGATTACACGCTACAACCGAAACTATGGGCTCGCTGGTACTCTACTCTGCACTCCTGAACTCGACGCATGCTGACACTACGCATCCCGTTTGCACCACAGGTGCGACTACTAACTAAGTTGCCTATATAGATCCCTCTCCGAGATCCATCTAAATTGCATTGTCTAAGCGATGTTATGTCTGTCGTCTTGTCTGATCAGTTAAGATAGACGTGAGGTGAATGCGAAAGGGCTAATTCTCATCATCATCACCTGACATTAATGTCGATGATATAAATTGTTGTTAGCTGTTGCTCCACAGACAAAAATAATATCCTAGCTGAAGAATATTCTCTGGAAAATTATAAATATCTTTATTTCAAGTTAATATTCCAATGTGCGCAAATACGGTGTTGGCTGAGAAGTGTCACTCGTTTTTAAGAGTGCGGAGCGATCAGGGTTCGAGTCCGGTCTTGGGTAAATTTTTAATTAAAGTCATACCATTAATTTTTTTTTTAGCATTTATTACTTGAGCTGAGAGATTAATTTATTTAATTTTTAAAGAAAAAAATTTTTTTGATTTAAATAAAAGATTTTTTTTCTTTCTCCAGATTAGTTTTTCTCCGAAAATTAAGAGTTGAAAAAAATGAGGTCGTTTTTATTAAAAATTAGCGTATCCATGAAATAATATTTCAGGTTTCCGCCTTGAAACGGTCGTAAACTAGAGTTACGACAAAACACGAATAAAAATTTATATTCCCGACATTAAAAATGTCAATGGTATAGCATAGAATTGATGTCAGTGGTTTCGCTAGGTTGCACGATTGGTGCGCGAGCGATTAATAACGTCTCGGACGAATGACTTAATTGTTTGAATGTCGAGGGTGAGCTTGCCAGGTGACCCGGACAATTAGAGTGTATCGAAGAGTGAAATCACCTTATATTACGTCGACGGGGACAGATAATTACTCGCAGGGTAGCTGAGTGCTTACGAGATAATAAGGAGCTGAGACTATCTTTAAGGTATTATAAATTTATAGTATATACACCAGATAAGAGTGACGAGCTCGTGACCCCAATGACAATCAGGTCATATTGTCAACGATCTAGAGGCCTTTATTTGTTATAATTTTCATTATTTTTACCAACAAACTGGAATTTTCCATCTGCAGATTTTCGCGATAAATCATCAGTATTATTGTTGTTGTTGTTTAATATGAGAATTTAATTTTTTTAACGATTCTAGGAAGCCAATTTTCTTTGTTCGTTAAAACGGCAATAACTCTCTCTAGGCAGTTAATAGTAATCGATTCTGGTTGTAAGTCTGGCTACTGTTTATTAGCGCGGTTAAAATAAAACGAAAAACTATATAAATTTTAGCATGCCTGGTTTGGCGTTTTGCTTTATTTTCGAGGTTGCGAGCCTCGTAAACGGAGTGAAATAATACCCAGTTAAAAAATAAAAACTAAAAACAACTGGGAGTTAAAATTACGTTGAATAAAAAAGCTAATGCAGTTAAAAAACATAACGGGCGAATCGAGATACCTGTAGCTATATACCAATACATACATAAATAAAGGAGTAACACTAGAAGCTGCGTTCGATCTCAGTTCGCATCTACGTGCTAAATACTTAGTGTTGCTGGCGTTAATCACCTTTTTTATGGCTCGTTTTAAACCAGAAATTCTACTTTTTAAATTTTATTTCTTTATCGCTCGCTAAAATTCGCATTAATTAATATAATAATAATAATAATAATATTTTCGAGGACATTTGTTTGCAGAAACAAAATCTCCATTAAATATTAAATAATGATTTATTGAAATATTTTTTTAATATTATTATTATAATAATAAATTTAGTTATTGAGCTTGTAAAAAAAAAATTGCGGTCATATTATGCGGTTAGATCTTTATCCGTGCTCTCTCAATAATTTATTAAATTAACAGCCGAGTGTTGGGCATAAAAACCGCGGGAATTTGAAAGTTATTTATCAACTAAAGTAACCGTACAATAAATAATATTAAATAATTCATTAAGCTTTGTATTTATGAATAATAAATTACATCGAAAAGTTAACAATTTGTAAATATTTATTGCTGTTATACTATACTATAATGAATATATATATATATATATATATATAGATATCCATAATAGTTTGCAGGTTGATGAATAATAATAAATAAAAAATTCATCAGCAATGATTTACGAGATCAGTGGAATTTAATCAGGAATATTTTCAGGTTAGATAAAAAATAAACAGCATACTAGTTTATTTGCTACATAGGATAGTAGTAATATATTTATATATACTATCATATAATATAGGTAGGTAGCAGCATAGTAGCCGAAGCCACGAGCGAGCGGGAGGTTCGGTCAGCGCGGCCGTCGGCGGTTTGCGAACTATCTCAATTTGCTCCCGCAACCACGGTCACCACAAAACCGCGACTTCCCTCATCCCGTGGCCACTTTCGATGTCCCGCGATCTCTCCTCTCAGCTTCTCTCTGGTTTGCTCTTTATACACCGAATTGTTTGCTCCTTCTTGCACTCCGCCCTCGAAATATTTATTATTTTTTACAACTTTCTGCGGTTCTTTCCTCTGTCTTATCTCAAAATTTTTAACTTATACCTTTCACCTTCCGTCTGACATCCAGCAATCTGTTCACTTTTTTATTTTTTAACGGTACACTGTAAATCAATTTTAAAGTTTTTCTCCGTACTAATAAATAAATAAATTACAATGTAATAAAGTAGAATATTTTCGACAGCCGATTTTTATTATGCATAATTTAAATCGCAGACATAGACGTGAATTTATGGTTTATTGCTGAGGATCCAACAGATCGGAGGGTGAAAGCAAACTTAAGGGGGTGCCAGGCTCCGGGAATTCGCGGTAAGCTGTATTTGCTCGACCGTCTGTGCGCTCCGGTGTTCTGGGTCTGTACGTACGCTCAGTTTGTTTATCCTTGCTCTCTTTGTTTGAAGAATGCCATCAGGATGCTGGAGATGTATAAACTACTCCTCATTGTGAACACTCAAGAGCCATGTCGACGTTTATAATACTCTGTTTATTATACGTCAATATGCACGATAAGAAATATAGTAAATTAAATAATATACATCTGTATTTAACGAACAAACAATATAAATTGTTTATTTTTGCGGTAGTGGCTAATTTGCTGTTATTTTATCACACGAATAAAAAAAGATTTCTTGATATTGAAAGTAACATTTTTTTCCAATCGATTTGAGCGTGTATGAAAATATTGCGTTGGCGAAGTAAAATCACTCTTTCTTATAAGTGCGGACCAAACAGGGTTCGAGTCCGGGCTTGGGCATTTTTCTTACTATTTTTAATTTTTCAAAAAATTAATCCTCAAATAAAAAATATTTAATTTAGTATTTTTTCCTGAGCTCAAAAAATGATTCAATAATATTAAAAGAAATTGTTTTCTAATAAAAATAATTTTTTTTTTAATTCAACTTTTCCGTAAAAAAAATTTTTTTTAGTAAAAGAACAAATTTTCGACTTGTTAAATCCTACTGTTGAAAATAGTGCAAAGTCCGACATACAGTATAGCATAGTGTATATATATATATATATAGATAGCCGTAAAGCCCTCTATACCGTCTATCGAACGGGGGTAGTACTCAACACCTTCACGCTTTACCCTCGCTCCGACATATTTCCACCCCATCGCACTTGATTCCGAGTGACCGAATCTCATTCATCACTTCCTGTGTAACTTTCACCTTTGATCCTAAAGGTTTCTCGTCGATTAGTCACAAGGACGTGGAATTAATACCGTACGGCTGTTGGTGAATTATTTCTAAAACTTTCATTTAAAAATCATTATTTTTCCAGCACTTGTAATATAATTGAAATTAAAATTTAAAATTCTATCAATAAGC